TATCTACAAACTAACTGGGGTACATGTAAGTACCTAAGTAAGATACTTCTTTTGCTCACACAACTACAAAAAAGGGAGAAGAAATATACACATAAAGCAATAAGACCAGTAGTTATGGGACATTTAAAAATGGGAAGTCAGAGCACGTGCACACACACACATACACACACAGAGAGACACTGAATACATAGTTAAGGGGAGTAGAGACTAGTTACAAACTATGATTACAAAATTTTTTAAAAATAGAACTTAAATCTGCTTACAGTCACAGATTTATATATTTATAACATACTAATCCTCTCTAAGAATATATAAATTCTTAAATTTTATCACTTCACTCAAACCAGTTTAAATTACTTCAAATTATTTAAATTACTTCAAATGGCAACCTCTTGATAGAGATACATACAAGAAAAACAACATACTAAACTCATTTTTTTGATCCATCTCTCCCAAATTTACCAGTTTAATATGAGATTATCCAAAATGCTTTTTTAAAAAAAAATTTCCAAAAAAAAAAAATTTCCGTGTGTAACGTAAAATCAGATCTGACTGGTACAGGAGGAGATGTCCCTCCTTCTCCAGGAGAGCATCTAGTGGATTAGAACCGTGTACCTCTGGGATTGCAGTGCAGCTTCTTGCCACTAGGCCACCAGAGCTCCATCAAAATGCTTTTATTAAACAAATTAAAGCATGTGGATGAGGCCAAGGAATAAAAATTTCTCAGCCTTCTGTTCGAAATCTCAAATTTATTTTTTTTCTTTACAATATTCGGGGGGTTGTCAGATTCTTTTAATTAGATGCCAAAAATATTACAGCTTCTATACCTTCCACTTCCTATTGCAACCCTCTGCAAGTGTCTGTTCTTTCCACAGACCCAGTTATCATTTTCTAGGAAATTGTCAGCATTGATCCAATCTCCTAATAGGGAAATTCAGATGTCCTTAGAATTAAATTCTACAGTCAGCAGCATTGCTACATTGCAACAGATGTGTCTCAAAGAGGTATGTTGTTATTGTTGCGCATAACTGAGTAGAGACCAACTCAGAGCTGATAGTGAGTTTTCAGAGGCATTTAATCACATAGGAGACTGCTCATCTTTCTCCTATGGAGCAGCTGGTGATTCAAGCAATAGGTCTTTGGACTGACAGTGCAATTTCTTACCACTAAGCCACCAGAGCTCACTCTTGTTATCAGCCATACATCAACTACAAATCATAGCAATCCTATAAGCAGAAGAAAAACTTCCCCTATGTTGCACCACCCTCATTATCTCCAACATTCTCAAGCCCATTGCTTTGTTTAGAGTCTCTTGTCTCTTTCTCTGACTTTTCATGATGTCTTTTTTCCAAGGACTGGTCCCTTCTGACAACATGTTCAAAGTATCTGAAGCAATGTATTTCACCATCCTTGCCTCTAATGAACTTCCTGGTTGCACTTCTGCAAAATGGATTTGTTCTTTTGGTAATCCATGAAATATTCACTAGTCTTCTCCAAATTCACATTTCAAAGGTTTGATTTTTCGTTAATTTTCATTATTCACTGTCCAACTTTCAAATGCATTAAAAGACCTAGACTTGGATCAGCCACACCTTTTTCATTAACCTGACATCCATGCTCTTAAGCATTTTGAGAGGTTCTTGACAAAAGATTTTCCCAATGCAGTACATCTTTGCATTTCTTGACTGCTGCTATCAAGGATGTTGACTGTGGAATCAAGTAAAATGAAATCCACCTGTATCATTCATTCAAATTAACTCATATGTCTTAGACAATCTAACATTTAAAAATTATTTCAAAAGTCAATTAGCAAAAAAAAAAAAAGTCTATTAGCCCATATCCTTTATTTTAGATGCTAAACATTTAGTTATAATCTGTCATTCATTTAAGCTCAAAAGACAGAATGGAAATCTGATTTTTTTTTTCTTTTTCAGTTCAGTATTTTCCCCTACAAATTTTGTCTTGTCTATACCTTTTTTTAAAATTTATTATTAATTTCAATGAAAATTTACAGAGACTTTGAATTTCAATTCATTCATTGTTGTACTTTTCTTCCTTCCCAATCCTCTCCCTAATGCACTATCCTCTTGGAAAAGTGAAAGAAAAATTCTTTCACTGTTTTACGATCCCTCCTCCCAGGTCCACTCCACTATACAACCTTCGCTCTGGACTCCTGTCATGATAAAAATACCTAATAACATATCCCTCTTAAATAATTTTCTCCCTCATCTGTTTCAATGCAGTATACATTTACTAAAACCATCTTTCTCAGTCTCCCCCCAACCCCGAGGTCAGTCCTGTTTTACAACAGTGGCACCATGCAGTATTTGTCCTTTTGTGACTGAGATACTTCATTCAGCATAATGTCTTCCAGGTTCACCCATTTTGAATAATATTTCATGCGTTCCTGTTTTTCAATTCACCGTAGTATTCTATTGTGTGAATGATACCAAAGCTTCTCTATCCATTCGTTTGTTTATGGGCACTTAGGTTGTTTCCAACTCCTTGCTATTGTGAACAAAGCCACAACAAACATGGATGTGCATAACATATCTGCTTGGATGTCAGTTATGGTCTCTTTGGGGTGTATTCCCCATAGTAGAATTGCTGGGTCTAATGGTATCTCTATTTGCAACTTTTTGAGAAAGCACCATACTGCCTTCCAGAGTGGTTGCCTCATTTTACACTCCCACCAACAGTGAATAAGGGTTCCAGTTACTCCACAACCTTGCCAGCATTTGTTGCTTGTTGTTCTGTTAATTTCTGTTATTCTGACTGGGGTGAGATGATATCTCATAGCTGTTTTATCTACACCTTCTGACTGCTCTGAAGGACTTGGCAAAAACTAAAGCCTCAGGAAGTGATGGAATACCAACTGACACATTTCAACAAAGAGATGCTGTCCTGGATGTACCAAGAAATCTGGAGGAAAACTACCTGGCCAACTGTCTGAAAAAGAGTCATATTTATTTCCATTCCAAAAAAGATGATCCACAGAGTGTGGAAATTATCGAACAATTTCACTAATATCACACACTAGCAAAATCCTGCTAAAGATTATCCAGAAATGACTGGCACAGTATATTGACAGAGAACTACCAGAAATACAAGCTTTGTTTAGAAGAGGACATGGCACTAGAGACATTATCGCCAATGCCAGCTGATTCTTGGCAGAAACAAAGAGTACCAGAGGAATGTCTGTGTCTCATTGACTATGCAGAGGCACTTGACTGTTGGATCACAAAAAACTGTTGCGAGCCTTAAGGAGAGAATGGAAAACCCAGAACACTTGATAGTGCTTATGCAAAACCTATACTTGGACCAGGAAGCAGTCCTCAGAATAGAGCAAGGAAACACTGCATGGTTCAAAATCAGGAAAGGAATCAGTCAGGGATGCATCCTGTCTCCATACTTTTTCAATCTATTAAAATTAATAGTTTAGTAAATAAATATGCTGTCAGGGACCTCTCCAGAGTACTGAAAAGAAACAATGTCAGTCTAAAGACTAAGGTGTGCATGATCCAGGCTATGGTCTTTGCAGTTACTTGCTATGTATCAAGAGAGCTAGACAGACAATGACTAGGGATGACAAAAGAAGAATTGATGCATTTGTACTGGAGAACAGTCTTGAACATACCATGAACTTCCAAGAAAACAAATAGATCTGTCCTGGAAAGGGTAAAACCAAGTTACTCCCTGGAAGCTAGGATTTTTGAAGCTCCAACTCATACTTGGGCATGTGGCAAGGAGGGGCATCATGTTCCGAAGGGAGGAGGCACAGTGCAGGAGAGGAAGACCCTGGATGAGATGGACCTATACAGTAACTGGTTCTATGAGAATTTGTGTGCTGGAATCAGTGAGACTGGCTCACTCAGGACAGGATTCAGAGCTGCTGTAATAGGGTTGCTATGAGTTGCAAGAGATTCTATTGCACATAACACCACCACCTTCTGACTGAGATTTAAACTGTCCCTTGAATTATAATTCCACTCTGTATTTTTACCCTTTTTGTTATGATTTCATCATATACACTGTTTTATTCAACCTTGCATTTATAGTTTCATATATTCATACTGTATTTCATACGACCAATCACTACTGATCTATGCCTATTAGCACCTCATCGCCAGTCCCTGCTGAATCTTTCCCACCCCCACATCCACCCACTAAACTCTGCTATCCCGGTGATCCCTACCCTTCCCCTTTTTCTGCTCCCTTCACACCCCCTTCTCCTTCAATGGGCATTCACACTTCTAACTAGTTATACTTCCATTTTTAAAGTAATGGTTTTATGTAGTATTTGTCCTTATGAGACTAAGTTTATTCATCATAATGCTCTCTAGACTATATCTGATTATACTGTATTTTACAAAAATCACTGTTCCTTATTTGAAAAAAAGAATTAAAAGGAATCTGTAAACTATAGGATTATTCAAATGTCAATTTAAAATTATTCATTATTCCACAGTAAAAGAACCTCAAGCAGAACTTAACTAAAAAGATGAGAGGGAAAGGCAGATGGATCTTTCTGGTAGTTTGTCCTGTTAAACTGTATAAACTAGAGTAAGAATAGTATTTACATATGAAAACAAATCAGCTTTGACAAATTCATAAAGATATCATCAAATTTTAAAGGGAAGCGCACTGTTATATCTAAGTACATAAATAACATTTGGCCGAAGTAAATGTTCATATTCCACTGTTCTACTTTTTAGGAGAGAAAATTCTTGTATACTCCTAAGTCATTAACATTGTTAATGAATGTCTGAGTAGTATATATGAAGTCTGTTAAAATGACAAATATTATGTAATATATATTCACCACAATTTAAGGAAAATTTTAAAACATGAAAACAATACAGTTATTGCTCTTATTTAAGAATCTCTTATCTTAAAGGTATATAATTGAAAGAAGCCATTTATTTTTCACCTTATGAAACATACAGGTGTAAATAATATTTTAACACTGAATTAAAAGCAATCATTCCCAAATATCTTACCTTTGTTGAAAGTACTTTAAATGTGCTCTGTTCTGGTATTATGGTATGAAGAAGTCTCAATTTCAAGTTGTAATCCTCTCCAGAAGGAAGTTTCACCAGAGCAGACAACTTAACATAAAATGAGCATCATTATTTTCTAAATTTATATAATGAAATTTAAAATGATTTATAAAATTACAGATTCTCCCCAACTAACTCAAAGTATACTGTTCCTATAAAACAAATCATACCAAATAATTCATGAAACCTAAAATAAAATGTTCAATAATGTTATTTGGTATGATTTGCTGGTAGTTATTTTATGGTCTTAGAATGCTCAAAATTTGTTCCTTATGTAAATGAATGGTAACTGCATGTTCACTTCACACCACTTCCACTTCAGAAACATTTCAGAGGAAAGGAATTTGACAATGACATTTTTTCTGTTCAGAATGCATGCTATCCTACCTTAGCAGCTCACTGTAAAACAAATGATAAACACTTTTTGTTTTCCACTGCTTTTTATAAACAGTCTCAAGAAATTAAAGAAGTCCTCTTTGGAACCCTTTCAGTTAGCAAAAACATGTACCAATCTAAGTCTTTTGTAAAAGCAAAGTGGCAGAAAGTAAACTTTCTGTAATCAGGGGATACACGTAAAGACTTTCAAAACCTTTGCAGCTTGATTTTAAACAATTTACATGGAATATCAAATTTGAGAACCTATCCTGTATCCTGCATATACATTCTCATAATATAACAAAAAAAACCCATGTATTCAAGTGACAATACAGCTTTAATATCTATTATGAGGTGCTCTGTTACTGGTTAACATTATTAGAGGCTAAATTCATTTAACATGGTTAATGAACTACAAGACATGCATCATAAAGCAAAACTAAGCCTTTTTCATAAATTATATCACATAAGTACAAGTAAGCCACACATCTCATTAAAGTCTATCAAACTCTGCTTTCAATTCCGATTCTTTTTTTTTTTTTATTTTTTTTATTTTTGTGTGAGTGTACCGTCAAAACAGATCTGACTGGCACAGGAGGAGATTGTCCCTCCCTTTTCCCGGCAGAGCATCTGGTGGATTCGAACCGTGAGCCTCTGGGATTATAGTTGCAGCTTCTTGCCACTAGGCCACCAGAGCTCCCCCTCAATTCCAATTCTAAACAAAAGACTATAAATAAACCTATACTCAAAACTTAATGAATCAATATTTAAGGTAGTATTTCAGGTTCAATTTAATACTTACATATAATCTCAGGGAGAAATGGCATACAGCTGATAAACTTCAAGCTATACTATAATATTCTTGCATTTAACAGTTTTTAATCTCAACATCTAAAAATGTTTCAAAGACTACACTGACCTCTTTTTCTGAAAATTCCACATTTATATCATTCTTCTGAACATTCTTAATCATAAGTGTAATAATTACTTGAGATTCTGTTTGATACCAGTCATACCTAGTAAAAGAGAAAAATTTTAAAAAATCTTAAAATTGTTGCTCCTTTCATGTTTTGTCAAGATAAAAACTACAATCCAATAAACAAGTGCTCTATTTTAAGAATGAACTAGCAAAGCAGCTGCCAATCCACAGAAGTAATTTAATTTCTATGACCTGTACTATTTTTAAGAGAGCAGTAAGGTGTAAAATGCCTAAACAAATGAGTTCTAATACTTACAAAACTGAGAGTCTTCTCTTTTTACTATTCTATTTACTATTCGATCAAAGAACATTTATTCTAAACAGTTACTGTACATTTTATTTTACTTTTTTTCATCAGACACACATTTATTATATTATATTATATATATATATACACACAAAGAGGAATCTGCCTTTGTTGTTGTTGTTACGTGCCGTCGAGTCGCCTGCGACTCATAGCGACCCTATGTACACATACATTTTATTTTTATACTCTCATTTATACCTAATAGCAAAAGAGATAAACATTTTTATTCCTACTTCCAAAAACAAGTTCAGAAATGTGAAGCAAAGTCCCACAGCCATTCAGTGGAAGTTACTGCACTGGGCATAAAGCAATATCAAAATCTGGATGTAAAGAATTCCAAGTAGAGACAGCAGAAAAAAATGAGTTAAAATTAAATACTGGACCACTGAAATCTTTAAAAATGTAGAGGTGTCTCACTTTCAAATTAGATTTTAAATTCCGTAAGAACAGAGCTATTAATTATCCCGCCATTTTGATGTCTCTGTAGAGAGATTCTTTTATGCCCCAAACATTGTAACTATTATTAGATGACTATAACACTCTTCTCTATTGCTGTCATCAGGTAGACCAATTTGTCTACTACAGAAGAGTATCATCTTGTATTTCCCCAGAACTAAAATGGATAAATTGTTTTAACATTTTCAAGTCATTTTAGATGACTATGTAAAAGAGCACCTTGATCAGAGAAATTAAAGAGTCTCAGTCTCTCTGAATTTCAGTGAAGATACTAAGCTCCCGCTGAGTTGCCTTAGGTTTCCTTCTATTACAATCCTAATAATACAATCTAGATAAATGACTAATAAAACATTAAAAATAACTTCAAATATTTGCTAGATAGGTTGACATTTTCATAGTTACACAGTTAGCAATTTTTACTTTTAACTCATAGAGAATGTTTTTATGAAATGTTACTCAAAATATTAAAAGTTAAAAATTTTGTTACATTTTCTACTAAATCATATGCCTATATTATATCAGTTCACCTGCGAAAGGCTTTCCCACATGGAAACAGTGACTTAAAAGTGAAATCACATGAAACATTCCAGTGAAAAAGTGATTCAAATATAAACCAAGTACAAGTATTAATCAGATAACAGGCCTAGAATTAAGTTTTTTTTAATATGATCGTAACAATGATTGGTAAAAAACTAAATACATAAGAAACAATGGCAAGGTGTAGACTTGCTCAATAGTAAACTACAGAGTTCCTTCCGTTGTCCCTTATTAGATACATTATGTGTGGTTTTATGGGGGGAGAAAAAAAACAACTTACTTGATTTTTGATTGTTGAGCCCGCTGGGATGTACAATGATTTTTTTTTTTAGGAAGTTGGATGAAAAAAGATTTTTACAAGTTAAAACTTAATTGTATATTAAAATACATATTATTAATTTACCCAACAAAGTTACTTTGATATAAAAACTTCCTTTAAAAACAAGGTATCACATCCAAATGGTTCTAAGAAACCTACTCATCATTAAAAAACTAAATACACTGAGCACTTTCTTAATTTTTATTATTTTCCACTTTAAAAGATTTTTCTTCTACAATTCAAAAACATAAAAAATATAAATTCTAAAAGGTTTGACAACAAAAAAGTTACTCATGTAAAATGTCCAGTTTAAAATTCAGTACTACCCAAACTGAGAAACAACATAATATTCCATTTTAAGAATGCAGGACAGTAGAACATTCAGGCTTAACTATAATGTCAAACAATTCTCTGAAAGCAAACAAACATTTCCATGGTGCCTGCCTGATAATGTTCTGCTTTGTTTACAGCCTCTTTACAACAAACACTACATAATTAATGCACATCAAAAAAACAAAACCACCCTTGGTAATCAGTACTATCCCGAACTACAAGCACACCAATTAAGACTATGCTAATCTAAAGAACTCATCCTTTGTTTTAAAACATTATCCCTAAATAAGAAACAGATGGAGTTTAAGACAAGAACTAAGTAAAACTGCTCTAGAGATTTCTAACTCAGAATTAATCTCCACTAACAGATTGAGGAGTACCTGAGCAGCATAAAATGTCAAGCACTTGACTACCAGCCAAAAGGCTGGGAGTTCAAAACCTCAAACAAGTACCTTGGAAGAGTGGCCTGGTGATCTGCTTCTGAAAGGTCAGTCTATACAATGGTTCTAACTTGCACATGAGGTCACCATTAATCTCTATCACTAACTGACAACGACAACAATAATAAAGACTGGGAGACAACAGTGGTCAGTGGTGGAATTCTTATTTTCCATCTGGAAGATTCTATTTTTATTCCCAACCAATACACTTCATGGGCAACCCACTTTTCAGTGGATGCTTTTGCATTGCTAAAAGGCTGAGTAAGTTTATCTAGCTCCTTGTAGACAGAGGCAAACTAGGAAGAAAGGTGCATAGCAATCTTCTTCAAAAACAACATTCAAACCAAACCAGTGAATAAAGCCCTGTGAATTAAAACAATCCAATTCACAAGTGATCATGAAAATGCCACTTGATTGGACTAACAGTGCATCATTCCACTGTGCATGGAGTCTCGAGTAAGGCCCTGAAGCCTTGACTAGACAACAGCTAATAACATCAAGGACTGAAATGTATCTGAAGAGTTCACATTCTTCTAGTACATCCTGACACCAGGACAAAACTAGACTGCATTTAAGAAGTGAGGAAACCAACGTACTAAAGCTGAATAGCTGTGTTTGCTTTACTTGACAGTTTGAATTTTTCCCCCTTTGTATCTAAACGTTGTACAGTTCTCAGGCCTAGTCCGACTTCTAACTTAGGGTCATGGCTAAAAAGCATTAGCATTAACTATGCATTTTATCTGGATACAATCTAAATTGGTTTTACTAAAAATTAATTTCCTTCACTTCCATCATGATTTTCATATTAGAAAAGATTTAAAGATGCTCATTTTCAAAAATACTAAATTAGAAATATTTCCAATTATTAATTAACTTTCTGAGTCAGTATACTATAAATAAATCTACAAATGTTTCCAAAGTAGCAAATGTTTTTAAAAAATGAATTCTAGTGCAGAAAAACTAAATATCATTCTGTTCATACTAACACATTCTAAACCAACTTGAGCTACACACAGAATTCATTAAAACAGTGCAATAATTTCCATGACTATAAAATTCTACTTTATTTCACCAGGAAACAATCCTATTTCAGCTCAACAGAAGATAATCTAAATGGGAATTATTTGATATTTAACAGAGTTCGTTTATTCTGAGTCCTGTCTCAAATACACTAAAAGAAAAAGAAAGAAAAGAAAAAAAAAAAAGAAAGAAAACACTCCAGATGATTTCTTAACTTTTCTGTACTAGAAAATATACTCAACATTTGAAACTTAAACACAAGTAAAAACAATGAAGCAATCTGGACTTACCACTTCAGATTCTGATCCTAATAAAAAGAAAAAAAGAGAACATTTTCACACAGTACTACAGTTAACAGGCAAAACTATATACATTATTTCTATGGTACACAGTGATTAAACAAGGCAATGTTTTGTTTTTTTTTTATCCTGTGCCAACCTAGCCATTTCTTTTTTTTTCTATAATTATATTTTATTAATTTTCATAAACATTTACAGAGATTTT